AGGACTCACGGCCAAAGCAAAACCCGAGGCACATAAGAGAAAACAGCCAACAAGGCTCTCGGCCCAAAGCTAGGAACAGGGACAGGAGGGCTCACGACCAGGGCCAGCAAAGAAGAGGAAACAACCAACAGGCCCATAACCAAAGGCAGCCTAAAAGACAACAGGTAAAGCTTACAGGTAAGGCATCAAAGGGGCCCAAAGAACTAAAAAAAAAAAAAGCTCATGGTTTAAGGCAGCAAAGAACAGCTGCAAAAGCCCACGACCCAAGGCCATTCAAAGCACAAAGGGCTCACGGCTAAAGACGACAAAAAGACCACCAAAGGCAACTATGCTTCCCTGGCAAACTGAAAGGATAACTAAAATAATTATAATTTTTTTTTTTGGATGACAAACTTGATTCATTTATAACTCTCAAGACAATTCAAGCCTAGCAGGGAAAGCCAAATCACACCCAAAGACCTGCAACAGACCTCACGAGTAAGGAGTAGGAACCCAAGCCAGCAAAGCCACCTCCCAACCATTTCTCGGGTAAAGGCTGAACAAAGCAACACAACCCTCAATCAAAACCAAACCGAGCCCAACAAGAAACAAAGCCAAAACCGAGCTCAACAAGGCTAAAACAAGCAAAACACAGCCCCCACCCTAGAGCTAATCCAAGCAAAGGCCAGCCAGGGCAAATCAAGCCCAACCACTAGAATCAAACCAGGTCAGCAGAGCTAGAGCAAGCAAACACAACCCACACTAGAGCCAAACCGAGTTCAACAAAAAAGAAAGCCAAAGCCAGCCCCTAACCAGAGACAAAGCCAAAGCCAGCCATTCAAAGCCCAAAACTGTGACTTCAAATCAAGCCAAAAACAAGTTCAACAAGAACCAGAAACCAAATCCGAGTTCGACGAGATATAAGAAGCCAAAATCAAGCTCAACGAAAACTCAAAAGCCAAAGTCAGAGCTCAATAAAATTAAAACAAGCCCAAGCATTGCTATAATCGAGCCATACAACATTAAAGCTCTAGCCATTTTAAGCCCGAGGAACAACCTGCATGTCTAAACATTCTAAGCATGAAATTATTCAACAAGTATATGAACAGAGGAGGCACTTCACAAGGAGCTAAACCCAGCCTTCAGAACAAGCTGTAACACTTTCCAAATTAAATAAGTTTTCTCATAGCATATATTTCAAG